TTATAGTGTGGCAGTAACAAATCTGTCTGATTAGGGCATGTCAGGTGTAATTTATTCCTGATAAGGTAAAGCAGAAGGTAAAATGACTAGGGGCATATTTGAGGCTGGTACTACAGAATTACAGCTCCCCAACAATGGGAAATATCAAAGAGGAGAGTGTGGGTGTCTGACTGTAGCATTCAAACATGGACTGTTAGGTTGATGTCACAGTTGATATGAAGGAGCAGTGGGAAAACAGCTTTCAGTGTTACCACTCTAATATGTTTTGTTAGGAGGAATTGCCAAAATTTGTTTTTCTTAGGAGCTAACAGAGAACATTTTGACGGAAAAATTACAGATCTGGATTTATAAGTGAATGGTTAGCACAGAATGCTGATTTGTTACTAGTGACTTTCTCCTAATAATACTGCCATTGTAGTGTCTCATTCAGAAATGTAAGAACAGGTTCCTTGTATTTAAAAAGGAGTTGCTCTTCTGACAAAAGCCGTTGCTAAGAGGATTGTGCTGCTACATTTCTCAGATGAGTGAAGCTGGATGCATAGGGGAGGAATAGATGAGACAAATATCCCTCAGATTCCAGCAAATATAATGTGGAAGAATTGCAGGAGAGAAGCATTTATTTTCCTTTCTCTTCTGGTCTACTCTCCCAAGAGAATGATCTGCTGATAAACATCTCAAACTTACGAGGCAGCTTGGAGCCCATTTGGTTGTAAACCGATTTTATTTCTTATTTTTTAATTTGTATTAATGTTCCAAGGCTGCAAAATCCCTGTGTGACTCATAGAGCATTACTTGGTATAATTCCTTTGAAATCAATACAGTTGTCTGATTACTTCAGTTTATAACCTCTGAGATTGTTCAACTCTAGTGAGTATTTTTTTTCCTTAGAAACCAAAAGTTCTTCCAATTAATGCTGTTACAGTTACCAGCTTTTAGAAGTTCAGTGACTTACATGCACACACACAGTCGGTTTCCTCAAAAACAATATAGAATCATAGAATGGTTTAGATTTTAAGGAACCTTAAGCTCATTCAGTTCCAACCCTATGCTGTGGTAGAGTTGCCACCAACCAGCTCAGGCTGTCCAAGGCACCATCCAGCCTGACTTTCAATGCTTCCAGGACGGAGCATTCACAGCCTCCCTGGGCAGCCTGTTCCAATGCCACACCACCCTCTAAATGAAAAAAATTCATCCTGACATCTAGTAGTGTAGTATTAGGTTGTTTAAGCACATCGTGGATAAAGCCAAAAAACAAGCTCCCATTTGGAAGCTAGTTGCCTTCTTTGAAGTCTTTCACTTGCAGGATATTTTGTGGGATATTGTTACTTGCATTACATGTTAAGAGAATAATTTGTTTCATTGCTGTCTGCGTAAGAAGATGCTGGTCAGCTGTTACATTGCCTTTTACTTCTTAAAAGCTTTACTGAGATTGGTTTTTCTCACCCATTTATTTCTTCGTTTATCTACTTTCTCCTTAAGTAAATGTGCATAATTCTGTCTTGTTGGTTTACTGGAAATACAAATGGAAATTTACTGATTGTGACAGAACAGTGTTCCTGTGCTGGGTTATTCCATGTGGCCCCCCCTCCCTCCCTGGTCAAAGAAGAGAGAGAAGCTTGGGATGGAGGTGTGCAGAACAAAATCTATCCAGGGTACTGAATGTGTACAGTGCTGCCAGGTTTGTCTTGGGGATTCTGAGTTCATGAGCAGGTTCCAGCAGGGTAATCTAGTTCATGGACAGCTTAGGAGTTCTTCCCACCCCTTGGCGGTAGGAATCATGTTGGATTAGTGTAATGGGATCGCTTTGTAGTTCACCTTTCATTATCTAGGGTTACAGTAGGTCATGGTATCTTGCAAAATGTGCAGAACAGCTAATGTAGGTGCTGTGAGGCACTTGAATGACTGTAATGCAGGTGCTGAGCTCCAGGGCTCCTTGTGAGGAGGTTTTCTCTGATTTTGGTTTTGGTTCAGGGTCAGATTTTCTTTTTTTATGTAATACAGGGGGAAAAAAGAATGAAATGGTATTTTGCTGTGTGCTGTACCTTCAGCACATCGCGTACCCTTATTAAGAACAGAAAGAAGGGACTTGCAGTTTAGCAAAGGAATTCCAGACCTTATGCCAGCTGAAGAGCTAATTTGGCCTATCATAACTCCTGTTTCATACTTATGTTTTCTCTGTACAAATGCTTTTATTTTAGAAGAAATTTCTTAGAATTACTGGCTTTCTTTTTCTTTTTTTTTTTTTTTTTTTTTCATAAATAGATTGTGGACCTGTAGCAGGAAATGTTCATAACTAAAACTTAGATAGTTATTACAGGAGGCAGTATAGACAATAAGGAGAACAAATTCACTTATTTTAAGGAACTTTCTGCAGAGTTTTGAAGGAAATCTGTGTATCTGTTAGGAGTACTACTTGTATGAAGCATCAAGAGGGTTAGATGGTTAAAACATTGAGTTAGGTTGACATGCACTCTCATTCCAGGCTTCTGTCTGGGCAGAAGAAATGTGTGTTTCAGTTCCTTCTGGGTGTAGAACCTTTTCTAATCACAATTCTTCACTGAGCTGCTGACCATTTCTGATGATTGCTTCACTTGCATGTCTTGTTACACAGAAGCACCACTTAAGAAGTTATTGAAAACCTCTGTTTTGTTTTGTTTGGGTGTGGTTGTTTTTTTTTTTTTTTTTTTAATTTATTTTAATTTGAAGGCTACTTTTAAAAACAGCCAATCATGTTTTTGCTGAAAAGCTGTAGCTGTAGTGTTTGCTTAAATCAAGCCAGCAGGTGTCCTCAAATGGCATTTCATTATTGTCCCCCTGTAACATAGATGGAAATATCAGTCTGGTGAGCAATGTTTTTCTTAAGTGCTGTTGCTGAAATTAATTGACTTATTAACATAAGTCAGAAAAGAAAAACCTTTTTCAACGTGCATATGTGTATTTATCATTTTTATCTCAAACCCTCTGATGAAGGTATTCAGAGGGTGGTGAGGCACTGGAACAGGTTGCCCAAGGAGGTTGTGGACGCCCCACCCTGGAGGCATTCAAGGCCAGACTGGATGTGGCTCTGGGCAGCCTGGTCTGGTGGCTGTGAGCCTGCACATAGCAGGGGGTTGAAACCAGATGATCATTGTGGTTCTTTTCAACCCAGGCCTTTCTGTGATTCTGTGAAGTAGTGAGACAAACAAAACTATGAAATTTTATCAGCTGAGTTTCAGCCTTCACTTTTCAGCAAGAAATGGAAACATGACTCGGCAGTGAGTTTTTATGGTAGCAGAAGTAATCGATTTTATCCTATCTAGGGAAAATTTAATTCTGGATCAGATTGTTGTTTACTCACTCTCTAAAAATATTTTTTTTCCTGCTGATAAATGTTAGTGCTTGCATCTCAGTACTACACTGTGTAGCTCATAATGGAATTGCAGTTATGCTAGTTTCAGCAGAACTGAAGAATTAGTTAATTTGCACAAGAGGAGGAATGTTTCCACGACTTGTCTGAAATTCAGCTTGTGGGGTTTGTATTCCACCCATTTCTGATACAACTGACTCTCAGCTTTGTACTAAAGATTACAGAAGGTAGACTTACAGATTTTATTACATTTCTCTTTATGGAAACCTTACTGGTGTAATTAAACCACAGCAAAGTCCCAGGTGTGTAGTGCTGCCTATAGGATATACCTGTTCTTGTTTCCTCTGGTAGGGAGGGGGAATTCTGTTCTACTTAACATTCTGATTCCAGCTAATGAGTCGGAGAATTCCAAGTGGGAATTACCTCTTGAATCTTCACAGGTGGTGATACCCAAGCTCAGAGGCACTCAGCTGAGAAATCCACATTTCTGTGTGGACTAACAAATCCTGCCACCTTATTCTCTAGTGTGTATGCTCTGTGTCAAAAAACAGGATTGTTTCTTTCACATTATAAATGCTTTTTTTTTTTTTCTTTTTTCTTTTTCCTGAGTTCTGATCCCTCAGGATTTGCTATATGTCAGCATCTGACTTGAACAGCTATGCTGCTATCAAGTGTCTGGGTTAGAGCACAACTGGGATCATTAATTAGTCTGGCAACACTGTCAGAGCAACGTTCATGTTAGCTGAGATCGACTTAAGGTGTATCGAGTCTGCTTTCCTTCAAATCTTTATATGACTTTATTTTACTCTTGGGAATTATTTTCTTCAAATATTTCTGTAAGTGCTCTGGAATACTTAAACTTTAATAATCTTTTTTTTTTTTTTTTTAATGCTTATTTATTTTTTTGAGAAATAGTGGTTTCTTGTTAGATGATTAGTACAGGATGTATGCTCTGTATTTCAGATTCAGTACCTGGCAATTATCAGAATAGTGATTACTGTTGATATTTTTAAAGAAAAGGCAGAACTGTGCAGATAAAGCAGTTTGCCATCTATGTGGGAATGAAAACTGAGGCTTAGAGTGAGAAATAGGAGGCAAATTGAGTAACAAATGTCACAGTCTCTAACTACTCAAGTAAAAATTACATTCTCCCTAAGTGTTTTTGAACATGAGAATGCATCAGCCGTTCTAAATTGATTATGCACATCCTTTCAATGGATTATCATTTTTAATTGTCAAGTGAACAAATTTATTGCATGCTTACTGAATTTTGGCAGGAAGGTGGTGATCTGGACTGCCACTGTGAAGATCTTAAATGTTGTTTCCAAAGATGTTCTATTTCTGAAGTTGTTCACCACATTTGACGTGGGACATGTGGTGATACAAATCCACTTTTACAAGTTATTTTGTAGCTTAGGCAAGCAGGAAGAAAGTTTGTAGGATGACAACATAGTATTACTCCTCCTCAAAGTGTTTGAGTGCATCTTACTGCTCTTTAGAAACTGATGTGTTTTTTTTTTTTTTTTTTTTGTTTGTTTGTTTTTTTTCTTCCTATCTTATGCAAACTAAAAATTACAGAGTGGATATTCACCTATTACATACAGCATATGATATTCTAATATGTTTATGTTTTTTTTTTTTTTTGCTTCAACAGGTATCTTTCAGATGAAGGAATCGAAACTTGCATAAATTCATCTGAAAAAGTCAATACGAATGACATTATCCTAGTTGCACTTAATGTAAGTTATGATTGTGAACTTTTTTTCTGACATCACACTGAAAACAGCGTATCTAATGGCGCAGGTGGTCGTCTATGATTCTAATTAAAAACATTGTTGTCTATATGATTTATGTAAAGGACAAAGCACCTTCCTCCTTCCCAGAATGTTTGAATTATTTCTGAATTCATTTGGAAATGACAGCTATTCCAACCTGAAGCCTAGTGGGGAGAAAAATGAATATAATTTACAGTTAGAAGATATTTCTGTGCTTAGGAAATGTAAATCTGAAGTTGAAGTATAAGCAATACTTATAATGAAATCAGAAGTGCTGTGTATGGATGTGAGTATGAAATTACAGTGCAAAATATGAGCTTGCTAGGAGGAGTAAAACATCCTTACTTAAATTGACTTCTGGGTATGCTATTCTTTAAAGCTTGGTCAAGCAAACATTGAGTTTCCTACAATGCGTATTTAGTTATATAACTACAAGCAGTTGCTTGGAATTACTGTAGATATGTTAATTTAGTAATTATTTCTGCCTACAAGGAAATAAACAAGTACATGTGTTGCATTTCCAGCTTGTCTGATAGATAATCAAGATAAACCAGAAACGTTATGCAAGTACCCAAAGCCAATCTTAGTGGGTTATCAATACTTTTGTCATTAAATCGGTAGCTGTTTAAATGTTGTTTAAAGTAGAAATAGCGTTGTGTTTTGGAAGGTAGGATAAAAGTGAGTTTAAATTGCATTTCCTAAAAATTCATACCTCTCATTGGCAGTTATATGTCAAAAGAAACCAACTGATGTTTTGTGAATTGCTTAAATAGGAATGAAATAAATGTGGACATGCCTTCAGTTCTTCAAACGCTTTTATTTTGTATAAGATCTTGCAAAGGGTTTGTAAAAGTTCTATCTCCTTCCTTGTTGCTGTGGTTGCAAAGCATCTTTCGGGAGACTTGTCAAATTCTGTATGAATACGGATTATTGCAGGGACAGTTCAAAGTAGTTTGCGTGCTGTTCAGAGGTAAATAACAGGCAAGTGACAGATCAGTTTCCTTGGGGAGGCTCAGATTGAAAACTAAATGTACTTTCTTATTACTCTGTGGCTATATTGTGCAATAGAAAGTAATTTGAACATTTATCTTCTTTTTTACAATATTTGCTCTGAACATCTGTAGAGTATCCTAATTGTGGGGAAAATAGAAGAAATGCCCCTGTTTTTCTTGTTTTATGATTTTTGACTTTTTTTTTTTTTAAAAACAGGATATTTTAGATTTATATTCTGTTGTCTTCTCTATTAATTTCAGACAGATTTAAGAACGATTGGCAAGAAATTCCTCCCCAGTGACATCAATGGTGGAAAGGTGGAAAAGGTAGGTGATATTAACTTCACTTCTCTTGATGTGATTTCTTTGTGATGACAGTTATCTGTGTAGCATTAGTCTCTTTTTGGCTTCATTTGAACATGAAATAATGCCAATATTTGAGGATAAATAGGTTAACATATTAGTTTGCCCACTAGACTGTATAAAGAGAGGAGTCATCTTTACTTCTAAATTTTGAAGTGCTTAAATAAATGTGACTAATTGTAGCAGCTTCCTTTATCACTCAGAAATATTTAACCTGTTCGATCTTGAGTTAGTATCAAAAGTGACCTGTTCCTTTATTTTACTTATTCACTCCTGTGAGAACAACAAAGCATGTTAGGCATAAAGCCAAGTAGTTGTGTGATTATGATACATAATGATAAATGTTGATACTCCCCTGAATTATCCACTGATATACGTTATTGAGCCTGTAAACTTTGTTGTTGTGTATCCAATAATTTGTATGGATAATCCATGCCAGATGATACACTGCTTTATAATCTACATAATATTTTTGTTTTCTAAACTTTTCACGTTCCAGATTTTTTAACTTGTATTGTGTGTTTAGGTAATTCTTAAGTTTTGACCTCATTGGTGTCCTCTTCCTGTGTTCTTCCTAACATTGAGTTAACAGATAGGATAAATCAAGGAATTTTATTTCAAAGGTAGTGGTAATTCTCTGTTCAAGTAATTATTCCTATCTTCCAAATATTTATGGCCTATATTGATGATGTGAAATTTTTTGAGAAGCAGATTTCATTACTGTTGAGATTGAGTATAGCAGTAAATCAAAGCAGAATTTTTTTAAGAAAACGAGCTTGATGACTGAGACTGTTAAGATCTGTCCAGATGTATTTTTTCTGATGGTACTGTTGTCTGAACAGAGTAGTGACTGATTTAACTCTAGCTTCTGTAACAATAATGAGAGAGCATCATTGTCAGCTATGGAAAAACTCAATTGCAAGATACCATATAGCGGAATAGATGATAGTGTTCAGTCAGACAGCAGTCTGTGCATGAAACTCATTATGTAAGTAACTTACTAAGAAAAGTTTTATTAATTATATTATTTCTTTCTGTTTGGACTGTAAGTTTTTGCATTGTTTACTTATCAGTTGCTTTTTACTGAATTTTGCATGTTAGGTCATTTAATATGGAGTAATTCTAAATGCATTTACTTAAGTACTTCAAAAAGGCCAAATGCAAGTTCCTGCACCTGGGCTGGAGCAATTCCAAGCACAAATGCAGACTGGGCAGAGAACAGATAGTGAGCAACCCTGAGGGTAAGGATTTGTGGTTGTTAGTGGATGAAAAACTCAACGTGAGACAGCAGTGTGCATTGGCAGCCCAGAGGGCAAAGTATATCCTGTTGCAGTCTGAAGAAGTATGGCCAACAGGTTGAGGGGGGTGATTCTCCCCCTCTGTTCCACTCATGAGACCCATACTTATAGTACTGTTTTCAGTACTGAGGCCTCTAGCACAAGAAGGCCATGGAGCTGTTGAAATCCAGAGGAGGGATCAAGAGAATGGTAAGATTGACAGAGCCCCTCTCCTATAGAGGCAGGCTGGGGGAGTTGGAGCTGTTCAGCCTGGAGAAAAGAGAAGCTTCCAGGAAGACTTGATAGTGTACTTCCAGTACCAAAATGGATACACAAGACTGCTGGGGAGGTTCTCTTTCTCCAACAAGTGTAATGATATGGCAAGGAGGGGACAGTTTTAAATTAAAAGATGACAGATTTAGATTAGATATTAGTTGGAAATTTCTAACTTTAGAGGCATGGGAATAGGCTGCCCAGTGAAGTTGTGGATGCCTTATCCTTGGAGATGTTCAAAATCAGGTTGGATGTGGTCCTGGGTAGCTGATCTAGTGGATGTCAACACTGTCCACAGATGGGAAGTTAGAACTAGAATCATAGAATCACAAATTTGGAAAGGACCTACAAGATCATCATCCAACCATCCTCCCATTACCATTGCTACCACAAGCTACTAAATCATATCTCACATCTCCTTATCTAGCTCCTTATCTAGATACCTCTTGAACACTGCCAGGGATGGTGACTCCACCACCTCCCTGGGCAGCCATTCCAGTGCCTCACCACTCTCTGGGAGAAATAGTTCTTCCTTATGTCTAATCTAAACCTCCTCTAGTACGACTTGCGTCCATTTCCTTGGGTCCTGTTTGTTGCCCAGGAGAAGAGTCCAAACCCCACCTCATCACAACCTCCCTTCAGGAAGTTGTAGAGTGCAATGAGGACTCCCCTGAGCCTCCTCTTCTTCAGACTTGAACAATCCCAGCTCCCTCAGCTGCTCCTCAAAAGATTTGTGCTCCAAGACCCCTCACCAGTTTTGTTGCCCTTCTCTGGACACGTTCCAGGGCCTCAATGTCTTTTTTGTAGTGAGTGGCCCCAAACCAAACACAGTACTCAAGATACGGCCTCACCAGTGCTGAGTACAGGGGGATGATCACCTCCCTGCTCCTGCTGGCCACACTGTTTCTAACGCAGGTCTGGATGCTTTTGGTCCTCTTAGCCACCTGGGCACACTGCTGGCTCATGTTCAGCCGAGCATCAACCAACACCCCCAGGTCCCTTTCCTCTTCACAGTCATCCAGCCACTCAGTTCCAAGCCTCTAGTGCTGCATGGCGTGATTGTAGCCAAAGTGCAGGACGTAGCACTTGGCCTTGTTGAACCTCATCTCATTTACCTCAGCCCAGCAATCCAGCTTAGCTTTATCTCTCTGAAGAACCTCCTTACCCTCAGGCAAATCGACGCCACCTCCCAGCTTGGTGTCATCTTCAAACTTACTGAGGGTATGCTCAATCCCCTCATCTAGGTCATCAATAGAGATATTAAACAGGACGGGCCCCAGTACTGACCCCAGGGAGACACCACTTGTAATGGATCACCAGCTGGACTGAACTCCATTAACCACTACCCATCGGGCACGGCCCTCTAGCCAGTTCCTTACCCAAAGAAGGGTATGACCTGTCCAGGCCGTGGGCAGCCAGTTTCCCCAGGAGAATACTGTGAGAGACCGTGTCGAAGGCTTTGCTGAAGTCTGGGTAAACTACATCAACTGCCTTTCTGTTGTCTACCAGTCTGGTCACCCAGTCATAGAAGGAGATGAGCTTGGTCAAGCGTGACCTGCCTTTCACAAAGCTGTACTGACTGGGCCTGATCCCCTGGACACCACACACATCATGTGATCTCTCCCAAAGTGATTTGCTCCATAACTTTCACTGGTACGGAGGTCAGGCTGACAGGCTTGTAGTTTCCCAGATCCTCCTTATGGCCCTTCTTGTAGATGGGAGTCACATCGGCAAGCCTCCAGTCCTCTGGGACCTCTCCAGTTAACCAGGAGCCCTGGTAGATGGCTGAGAGCGGCTTGGCAATCACCCCAACCAGCTCCCTCAGCACCCTAGCATAAAGCAATCCAGTCCCATGGACTTGTGATGGTCCAGATGGAGGAGTGGTTCTCTAACCATTTCCACCTGATTCACCGAGGGTGTATTCTGCGTAGCAGAACAAAGGTCCTTTACAACCCAAGCCATGCAGTGATAAATGTAATTCTCAAAATATTTACGTTGGGTGTGTGATAATGCTTACCTTGCTTTGTTTTGCTTCTGAAATATGGTTTCAGTTCAAAGTAAGTTAATAATAGTGGTGTTGCTTTTATTTATTTTTTTTTTTTAGAGGTTTATTTCAGTGCTACGGAGTTTCTTTAGACATACTAGTTCAGTTTTCATTCATCAGTTGAGAATGTATCTTGTAACTTGCTCATTTCCTTCAGAGAGGATGTTTTCTGTACTTCCATAGTTAACATTATTCAAGTGGACGGTTGAAAGTGTAACTGTCATTTATTTACTCAGAACTGACTATATATTGGAATCTACTTAGTCTTCAAAATGTTTATTGTTTCTCAGCTGAAACTAGGGAGGTTACTAGTTTTTCTGCTTGTCTCCACAAATGCAAAAAAAAAAAAGGATTGCGCATGAAGGCTGTAGTTGTTAGTGCTTTGAGACAACAGTCAACCTTTCACAGGAAAAATCTTCTGTGTGTTTACATGCAAAAGTATTGTTAGAGTTTGTAGAATTGTACACTGAGGAAATGAGCTATGACCTAGTGAAAATATGGAAACTAGATTCTAGTGTAATTTCTGAGGATCTCTTGAAAGTGCTGCTCTCCTTCAATATGCATTTTGCAGTGGGTTGCTGTGGATTCTCTTGAGTATCTTCAGTTGTGTTATTCTGAAAATTGTAACAGTTTATATGCAACACTGACAATTTTCAATAAGCTTATGGAACAACGTGCTTTAAACAGTCCACTGGCTTCTTTTTGGTGTACTTTGTGTTTCACTGTGGTCACTTTCACTGTTCCGTTTTTCATATAGTACTAAACTAATCTGATTTTATCAAGATGGGTTTGCACAGTTTCATGGATTTTGAGTATATCTGGCTTGACAGCTAACCAGTTGTTCATAAAACATAATGGAAGTATAAATCAAATCAGAACATGAGAAAGTACATTAGAACTTACAAAGGTGGTGAAAGTTCTAAATTGTTGTCATTTTTATTTCTTGTAAATATTAGGAAATTGGGAACCTGAATTCAAGCTGTAGTCTTATTGCTATTCTATTGAAAACAGATTTTTTTTTCCCCTGTAATAAAAACATCACTTACGCTTTTTTTTTTTTTAATTAGTCTTTTTTATTATTATTATTATTATTATTATTATTATTATTATTATTTTGGAGAAATGTGAAAACAAGCTCCAAGAAACCAGTGCCATTCAATTGATTACTAATAGGAAAAAAAAAAAAAAAAAGCTTTATAATAGTTTGTGTATTTACTTCAGTGTAGCTGCTCAAGATAGGAAATGCATATGGTGCCTTGTAGTAATTGGACCAGTCAAAACAGTTTTGAAGTTCACTTACTTTCATATATTGTCCAGAGCTCCAGATGTTGGATGCTGCATTGATAAACGGTCTGTTCACCTAATGGTAC